GAGTGACTTTTCGAGGAGAGAGGATATTTTGTAACCTAATCATAAAGTCGCAAGCATTTTTTGACTAAGTCTTGAAATCTTTAAATACTTTACCTGTACAGGAGTACAAATATATTAAAGATTGAAGACATTTCAATTTCAATTTATTACATTTGATTAACATTTTCAATAGAAATTAATTTCTTTTATTATCCTAAAGTACCTATACAAAATACCTTAACCTGTGTTCGTATCCTTTTGATTTCTATTTATGTACAAATATATGTAACAGTCTTACCTCTGATAGATCCCGAGTTTGTCAAACACTTGACATTGTTCATACATTCAAAACAACTAAACGTAACAATTGGCAATTATAAACGACACTTGTACGAAAACAAAAAGCGTTAAACATGATTTCTGCACTTTTTGGTGTAAAGTTTAGAGCGTTAACAATTTCACTTTAAAAATAAGAGCGAAACTTTCCACTTTTTGTCTTAGTGTGAAAGAATTCACTTCATTAAAGTGAATACTTCCTCCACGTAGAGTGAACTGGTCAGTGACTCCAGGATTGAAAATTTTATTCCAAAAAATTTAGAGAGTATCTGCGGTAACAAGAACATTCCTTAGACATGTATAACATACAGCTCGCTCTGATTCCCTCGATTCTCCGAACGGCATGGCGCAGCGCGACGTCTGGCTTATGTCCCATCAGCTTATGTCTTCGACATAAGCCGTCTCCGGCTTCGGCCTCAGCGTAGCAGTGTTATTTGGCTCTTCTCAAGTACTACTACTTGGCATTCCACGCCCTCGGATCTCTGGATCCTGTCTTATCGTGCCTCGTTTCGGCCGTTCTCTCCTCGCGGGAGACATCCTCGAGTTTAGGAGCATGTATGAGGCGGAGAATAAATTTGGCAGCGAAATGAAGTCACGAGTACCTGTACGTCGTGAGAGGTAAAGGGAAGCAGGCCCAGAACGACTGGGACTTGGTTTTGACATATTTATTAAATCGTTACGTGTAAAATGTCGTTTTATGCCTTTCTCAATGACTTTCAGGTAATACCAGAAGAATCGAAAAATATACGCAATTGAAAAACTTCCGTCATGTTCTTTACGTTTCTCGTGGCGAAAGGCTATTTACATATGCATAATGTTATTTTGACTAATTTAAACATGGAGAATATAAAGGTGAGAGGCATCGAGAATAAGAAATACGTTCTTAGCTTTTTAACCTGAGATAAGGCATCTGGATTATGCCAAACTGTGAGATTTTGATCTTCCGTAGGCTTCCGAACAGCTTTTGGAATCTGCACGGTCCTGTTTCTCGGAACTGTCCTCTCCAAAATACCGATGAACGCATACATTTCGCGTTCAAACACTTGGCGAGATACGTGCCGTTTACCCACAATATCTTGGCAAAATACAGTACGTTGAGAGAAGCGATTATTCGCACCGTCAACATCGTCTAAGTGGCGTACACTTGAGTTAATTAATGCAGTTCGATGCAATCTCGCCGCGAATGGAAAGAACTCAGTAAAGTAAATCTTAACTGCGTTATACTTTTATAAATAAATCATTTTTCTTGTAATACACAAGTATTTCGAGCACGCAATGTTTCTTACCATTTTTACGCGTTTCCGCGTTTAATAATCATAAGAAAAGAAAAGATTATCGTCATTATCGATACCGATCGATCAGCGTAATATCGTTCGTTTAAAGACGAATCGATCAGCCGATTGCTGATCACGTACGCACGGGAATACGATATCCTCGTCTATGAACAGCCTACGAAGATCGACGTGTACCGATGACGCCGACCGCGGCAAGTGACGACGACAAGCAATCGGTCACGCTGTCACTTTGATGTGTTGCGCAGCCAACAATGTCCGATGAGATGGTGCCGGGCTGGCCGGCGCGAACAGGTGCAACACGGAGGTGGATCGGGAGGCCGTAACGGTTGTCGCCCCGGTACAAAGTCGCGGCGAGGAACGGCGCGGCGAGGGCACCCTCAATTTCGTTCGAGGGGCCCCTGGGCCCAGGGGCCTTCGTCGTTAAGTCTCTTCTTCCCGGTATCGGCCTGGCACACCGAGGAGATAGGAAATTCCGCGGGCACGTTGGGATGCCTTCGGTAAACTTTTTTTCGACCGCGACACGGATTACAGACACCTGTCGGCAAGAGGATGCAAGAAGCGCAGATCATGAGGAGAGGGAGGGAGAGAGGGAGAGAGAGAGAGAGAGAGAGAGAGACTAAGGAAAAGGACGATGGGAAAAGGAGGGAGAAATGATCGCGGCTGTAAAGCGAGCGCGCGTGTATGATCCATCATCCGCGGCGGAGCCGTGTGATCAGCGTATGATCCATCATCCGGTAACCGCTCGCATCCGCGACCACGGCGAATGCCGATGCCGCAAAGCTATGCGGATGTAACCGGCCGATGATCCGCCACGACCACTCAAGATCTACTTAGACCCAGAACGGTAATCGAAATCTACATTTGTAATCGAGAAGAGTAACTTGTTCTCAACATTTCGATATTGGCAAGTGATGCGTGAAGGAACACTTCAAGTTCTAGAGAGACGACTTGCTTACATTGATGAAAAATAGCAAATTTTAATAAATATTTGTGTGTGTTTGAGAATAGATTTAAATCAATATTTATTTATTTGATACAAAAAAAAAATCATTAATTGGATTCAACTATCTTGTTGTTATTGAGTGGTATAAAATATTTATTTACCGTCGTCGAGTAAATGTTTATTATTCAAAGAAATATGTATTAAGATTTAGTAAATGTTTTTCGGTGTAGAATGAAAAAAAAAAAGGAAACATCCGCGAGAGAGAACGAAAGAAACGTTTCTTTTTATAAACACCGTGCTTTTGCGTGCCGTTTAGGCACATAGCTTCGTGCAATCGTACGTTACGGTACCGTGATTTTCATACAACGCGCACAAAACAGTTCTAATTACAGTGCACGAATCTGGGGATGATGTCATCTCGTTCGCAGAGATTGGAGTAACGGCACGCAGTTGCAGCTCCGACTTCGGTTCCGCGCGCGACTTCCGTGTCCAGAGAGACCGGAAGTGCATAGAGCAGCTGCAACAACCGCGACGTGCACCGTCGCTTAGTCACGTGGTCCGCGGCGAGCCGTATAAAAGGCAACGAGGAAGGGCCTTCGATCATCGTGACACGCTCGTATGCACGTGGGTACGTTGCATCGTGTCGTTCTACGGAATACGCGCATGAATGCGTATCGGACCGCGATTGGGTGTTCCGCCTGTAGCATCGTTCCACAAGTTTAACCGTTTCGCAACAGATTACACGCGCCTCTTCCTGTAATGGCCAGGTTTGCGCGCGAGCGCTCGCGTTACGTACGCACGCACACACCGTCACACACGCTTGTGCGTGAAGGCGCACGGTTCACTTGAAGAGATGATCGTCCCACGAGGAACGACTTGCCTTTGATTCCACGAGAAACTAGACTGACGCGGGAAGATACGACGCGTTTATGTCTCGGGAGGGCTACAAGAACTCTAGTCTAAAAGAAAAATGTTTTCCGGAGAGCAAGTATTGTGCCCTGCGCAAATATTTCTTCCATTTGTGCGCGCGCAGGACTTCATGGAAGAAATATCTGGAACAACAATCGATATTAAATATTAGAAATAAGAAAGTGGTAACGCACAAATATGTCTTACATCTTATTTGTATCCATTGTGCGTTACGTTTAATCTATATTAGTTTTTTATTTAAAAAATTTTTAATACATATTTATTTCTAGTATTTCTTCCATTGTGTGCAGGATCTAACTTTGCAGAATATATAAGATTTATCGTGTTTAATTTTATTTGTATGTTTACGCGCTTTTGTGCCTCGTGATGAATTCTACGTTCCACTGAGCTAGCAAGAACGACTGATTACAAGCGAATATTTATAGATGAATACGGACAAATGTATGGAGTCTCTTTCATTTGATCGAAAAGTGAAATACACATCCAGGCTTATTGAAACAAGTTTGTCCGTTTAAAATTCCTTTTTTTTCTCTCTCTCTGATGAATTCTATACAGTAAAATAAAATCAAGAGTTTAAACAACAGAGATATATATTGGTAGATCCGTTTAAAATTTGTTTGTTGAAATTAGATTCAAGCGTCAAACGCTCTCTCCGTGTCGTTATTCATACAGCATCACATTCATCGCGACTGGTCGCGAGAATTATCTCCTCGAAGCGGAGAGCGAGATTCCCACTCTAGAACGACATTCTCCAACTCGTTCAGCTCCGCCAATGAATGTAACGCGTTCACACGTGGACATGATTTTTCGCGCGGTCATTAAAAGCCATACCGCACCGGTCGCTGACTTTCTGGCAGTTGCGCTTAATTAATAAACTTCACCATTTTATAAACATCCGATCCACAGATATTTCAGTCCGATGGTGAATGTCTGCAGGTCAATGTTTCCAACTCACGCTTGCGCATGCGGGCGAATTCCGATTTCCGAGATCTACGCGATTGATCACCGGAGGAAACGCTAATTGCCGAAGAGAGGAGGCTCCGATGGAAGAAGTTAAATGAATATTAATTTTGATATTAATATCTCGGTTCATTTATCTAAAATATTTTCGTACTAATTGTAAATATATAATATAAACATAATAAAAAATTATACAAAATTTATATATTTATTCTTATAATATAATATATTTAATATATAATATATCTTATTTATATTTTAAATATTTTTATATATTTCTTATTCCATAACATGTAAATTTAACTTTAACTAACTCTTTATTTTTTTCTAGTTCTGAGAATTGGAAAAAGATGAACCGAGATTGAAGTTAACCTACATTGATAGAAACGAGTAAGAGATATAACTCAACTACTTATAAAAACAACAATTTATCTGATGTATGCTTCCGTCGGCCTTGGTTTCATTGATCACAACACACACTTGAATATGATTCAATAAACTAGCAATGTAGCGGTTTGACAAAAAGTTGGAGGAAGAAGTTACGGTAGTCTGATGAAATAAAAAGCGCATTTCGCTGCAAGGACTAGGTGGGAATTTCTTATCTTGTCCGTTACATGGAGGATTTTCTAATGATACGGTTCGGTTACTATTGTAAATCATATGATAATTATTGTAGCGGTCGATACGGAGAATACGGAGAATACGGGGTAAGCAAATGGTCATGGCGTTTGTTACAAATTGCTTTCGTGCGAAAGATTTCCATTATGTAAAAGTAGTGCCAGGAATGTATAATCTTGTGCTCATCGCCGTGCTTAACAATGCCACTTAACAGTTAGCACGCACGAAAATGTTATGTAGACACGCCTTACTCTTTTGCTTTTGCAAAGAAGAAAATTGGAACTCTTACACGTTGCAGTTTGATGCTGCAGACAATAATTCCTTAACATCTCGCAACATTATCGTAGTGTTTTATTTCACTGGAATGTACAATTGATTTTTTAAACTAATGTTGAATTTGCCATTCCAAAAATATGTTACTTTTCTTAATAGTACATGATTATAACACAATACATGAAATTATCATAAATTTATTATCTTTAGTAACATTTACTGAGAACTAATCGGAATTAAACGTTACATTTACTAGATTACTCTACTCTTCCTTCATCATTTTAATGAAAGAGAAAAGTCTCCATTTGTCTGCTCGACTAGTACATAACGGGTAAAAGTTGCAGCCGTTGGCGCGTGATTTGTCACTCTCGGTGCTCCAGAATGACTCGCTTCTATCGGCACTTCAACAAAACCCCGTTGATCTTGCGCGTTAAGCAGGAAGACACGTTGCCTTTGGTTCGGCACGTTCATTCATGACTGGTAAGAGATGCACAAACGCGACGACAACGAGGGGACTAACAAAAGCGTTCGCGCCTATTCAACTTGGGCTCGTATAATTTCGCCGTACGCGGAAGAAAAGTAGAGGGGCACGAATGACGAACGTGTAGGTGTGAACGATACTCGCGGTTCGAATTCAAGAAGCCGAGAGATGAAGTCCGTAGGCAAAATGTTGCAAACGATTGTTAAAGCAAGAACATTTAACCGGTAATTTCGATATAGTCAAATTAAATTATGATAATAAAGATAAAAATTGATAATAGAAACGATTAAAAAAATGATGAAGAATATCCAAAAATATGATAAAAACTATTATGTATTATTAATGTCCAAATAATGAGGTAATTAATTATAAATTATTAAATGGTAATTCTTGTTGGTAAAAATATCATTTAGCGCAAATATTGTATTTCGTATATCACAATTTTGATGTAATTTCTTTCACACATTTAGAGCAATCCTTTCAGAAACGTGTTTCTTGGCACAGTTTTACGAATTTTCAACTGCATGTTTCAACTGCATCGCTTCTAAATAAACGTCATCTATAAGATGCAATGAAGAATTCCCACGCAGCCGTTGCTGCCGCCCTTTGAGGTCAACGATCTCTTTGGATATACGAGCGAGTCATGTGAAACGATTAGAACTACTATTGTTCAAGACTTCTAATATAGTGATAATTTATTTCTGGGAGTAAGCTACCGCGCGATAAATTATTGGAACTATAATTAAAGTTTAATGAAGACAGTTTCAATTACGTTTGTATTTGATATCTTCTTTTTATAAGAAAGTGTTTCAAAGAACGATTGGAAGATAAATGTAATATTTCATACTACAAGTTTATGTAAATTTAATTGTCCAACTGAAAGTTATTCTTCTTGTATTTTATTACATTTAAAATGAAATTAAGTTTCTCAAGAATTAAATTCCTTGTCTCAATAAATTTTAATTACACGCGATTATCGGCTCTCTTACTGTTAGATAATTTAAACCTCACTTGATCGCGTCGGGAACACACCGAGAACACAATTAATCCTAATTTGGTTGAGCTAACCCGAAAGGGTTAAAGACGGCTTTTAGCACCTTTATCATTACGTACACCTGGAGCAATATTGCAGCTGCCTAAGATGATTACGAGGACACACCTAACTACACTGTGGCATCGACGTATGAGAGATTAGTTGCATCACAAAAACGCTCACTAGTTTACGTCCGCGTTTACGTCGGTATCATAAATCCATTTGACACGCCTGACTCTCTTTCGATGGTAGGCTTAAACGCGGCGACAGAACGCCATGGCTGAAGACAAGAAAAAAAGCGTGGGTTATCTGTAGAGAGTGTATACCGTTATGCACCGATCGTATCGCTGCACTTTCGCGATTATGCAATATTTGCCGAGGAGCAGAGTATTTTGACTTACGGTCTCTGTAATCGAAAGACGAGAGGTACTCTAAAGGCATTCTCATTTTGAGTCTCCGATGAATCCTTTTATGACGACAAAAAAAAAACCGCAACAAATATGCGCATCGTTCAGTTAGTTGCGTGTTTGTTGAAGATTGAAAAAGTTTTAAATATATAAAGGAGAATCGACGTTTTTAAAATAATATAATCATGTAGCACTTTCCTCGATATGTTACAATTGAGTTGTAAAAATAATTATTTTATTTCTCTTTTATAAATATAAAATTTTATTAGGTGCGCAACTAAGTTCTCGCTGTTATTTTGATGAAAATGCATCAGCGAGAACTTAGTTGCGCACCTAATATATATAGTTTTGAACGTACATTTTTAAAATATATCGTTCGTTTGTAAACGATGCATTTCGCACTAATCCATAAAAAAAATTAAAAGATCGTTATACGAGTGTCAGCCGCGCAAAATGTTTCTGCGAACCCTAATTGCCAATGAAACGACAACGACAATGAAACAAACTTACGCTTTTATAATTCACCCAATTATCATGGACTCGCGAAAACTCATCTTCGCCGTGTGACTTTTGTCTGTTTCAGGAGTAACAAGTACCTGCAAAAATCGTCCATCAGCCGCGTGTGCGCCGTCGGAGGTTTTTTCATTAGTATCCCTGTCTTCTTAACTGGTAAGGACAAAACGCTTCTTTTTCTTATCAAACTACACGAATCGCACTGATCCATGTCTGGAAAAATAAGATCTCCGTATGGAGACCTGCGACAAGAATAATTCGAACTCTCGAAACTCTGAAAAAGTTACTTGTAATTATCCACTTATTGTACGCCATTATTGTCATCGTAACATCACGATATTAATTCCGGATTTGTGATTTACAGGTATGATTTTGTACACATTCATCCAGTTCCATTCGACCCCGGCGATCGTCACGTCGGTCTTCATCGGCCTTGGCATTGTTTTTTGCGGATGCGCTATGGTTCACAACGTCTTCGTATGGCAGAAAGTGAGTGCGGCCCGAAAGTGCATTTTTTTAAAACCCTAAAAACCTTCCACCGCCTCCACTGTCTGTGATATCCTTTCCTCTCTTCGTTCAGCGACCTAACGGCGTGCGAATTTTTTCGATCATCACGATATGCGGATCTCCGTCGTAGCCAGTTCGCCTCTTTATTTTCTCGTATTTCGTAACCAGCGGACCAGCGATGCACCGGTCTGCATCTCCTTCTCTTCTGCCTCTTCCTTCTCCACCGCGCCGGTTCTATGCCCTTAATCTCTCCCCGCCGTGCCTTATTAGCATATTCCGCAACGGTCGATGTCATTATCACGCTATTATTTATGTCGGTGATCATTCTACCGTGTAATTCGATTCCAAACTGGATCCGTACGCAGGATGTGCGTACGTGCATGCGTGTACATACGCGTGTATGCGCTAAGCGGACAGCGGCGGACAATGCGAACGGACGTGTCCGTCGCGCCGTTAAGTTTTTGCCCTGTGAAAAAGAACCTGTGAAAAGATGGCAATATAACTACATAATGTACATGCGATTCTGGGATTCGATACTTGGATTCGCATTACGTAATTGTGTGATTAAGTGGAAGATTTTGTTATAACTGCGATCATTGCGGTTCTCCGCGATAAACTTTGCTGACATTTTGCCGCTATATAAATTGCACGACGAAGAGGGTTCTTGTTTACTATTTCTTCTATCCGCAATACTTCCAGCCTTATGATAACAAGTTTTCTAATATACTTGTCTATTTTTTAATGTGTAATTAAAATACTAGAATCTCTCGTCATGTGAATTGATACTTCCAAATCGTATCCTTTTTAATTCTTCTCCTCTCATTTAAATAAAAAATTTAAAAAAAAATCTATTGAAAATCAAACAGAATTTTTGATAGAATAATTTTTCTTTTTGTACAACGCTCGCAGGAGAAGACGAATGCGGTAAAAGCGTTTGCCCGCGAGCAATGCGAGGTTGCGGCACAGCTACAGCGTCAACAGCAGCAGTTGCAGCTGCATCAGCAGCAGCCGCATCAGCAGGTACACTCGCAGCATCAACAGCACCAGCATCAACAGCAGCATCACCATCACCACCATCAGCAGCTGCAACTGCGACCGACGCTGCATATGGGTTCGAAACTCGGTAGCGGCAGTGGCGGTCCAATGAGCCATTCGACCGTCAGTCTGGCCCAACTTAGTCGCGGCCTTCACCATTCTTATCAGCATCATCCTCATCAGCATCATTCCCATCAGCAACGGCACGTGTCCTCCATGTCGCCACCGTTATTACTGTCATCGCCGCATGCCGCATCACAGCATAACCATTTGACGTATCGTGGTGGTATCGCCGCCGCCGCTGCCGCCGCTGCTGCCGCTGTCGCCGTCACCGCCACACCATCAACGACACCCGGCGACCGGTCGCCACCAAGTCCCAACGGTGGTGGCGGCGGCAGCAGCAAGCTCAACAGGTCGCAGCACTTGCCGCGTGAAACCAGCGGCAGCGTGAGCCCCGGCCTGCCGGCGGCTACGCTCGATCTGAGTAGTGCCGCTACTACCAACAGTCCGCACGAATTGTCGACTCTTGTTTAAAGACCTTGAGGAAGTTATGGGAGAATAGACTTTCAGAATCTAGAATTTATTTGGAGACGTATTCTCTGAGCCTAGTAGAAAAAAAATATTATCTCTCATCATCTTAAGTCGATTTATAAAGAATAAATATAAAATTATTTAGAAACAAATATTATTATATTTTTCAAACAGGTATTGTCTAAAAAGAGGGGACCAAAAATTATCGAGGCTGTTGCTGATTATCCTTATTGTTATTATTGTATCATGTTGTAATGTTATCGGCATGTTATCACGTTATTAATGTTATCGTCATCATTACGACATCGTCATTTAGTGTTTATCCTTTATTTTGATACAATATTCTTGGATATTGATAAAGGTCGATAAAAAGTTATTCACTAGGATATCCTGCTTTGGTAACTATGAATTATCGTTAATTTTTTTATTACCACATATAATATTTACAAATCCTTGATGAACAATTATTTATACACTGTCCAAAGTTTTGTTAGATAATTTATTCCAGATTAAGAAATTAATAAGAAATTGTTTCTTTCGATTTTGATAAGCTTTGAATATGTTATGTGTCTCTAGACAAAAATAAGGGACATGTATTTTTTAATAAAGATTCATTACACTTTTTTTAGGGTGTGTACAACTCTTCGCAAAAAATCAGTTTTTTCTTTCGAAATGAATGTTGTCGAAACTGTAAAAAAATGTTTCGAATAAACGTTGAATTTCAAAGTAAGCTTCAAAAGTACTTTATATAATTTCAAAAAATTTGTTTACATAACAAATTTTTATTTATAAAAATAAAAATTAAAACATTTTTTAATTATAGTTACTAAGCGCTCTTAAAATCTTTCAACTTTTATTTCAAACCTTTTTTTTTTCTATCGTTTACAGATATTCACTTCGTAAAACAATTAGTTTTCTTCAAAGGAGTATTGCATTCTTTAAAAATGCAATTAGGCTTTTACAAAAAAATAAATGTCCTTTA